GGAGCAGAAAGCCTCATCTTTCTCCTGAGGAGCAGCTGGTAGTAGGACATCTCATGTGAAGTTTAAGAATAGGCACAATTGATCTATAGAGGTGAGAGTGGTTAGAATAGTGGTCTTTTGGGGAAAATAATTGGAAAGGGATGTTAAGGATCTGTTGGATGCTAGAGAAGTTCTCTACAGTGATTTAGGTGGTGATTTTAGAAATGTATACACATAGGGGAAAATTCATCAAACTGTATAATTAAGATCTTTGCGCTTTATGTAAGTTATATCTCAAAAACAACTCTTACGGGATCAAAGAATATACCGTTAGCACATGCAGTAAAATTACAACCATGTTCAAAGTACTTGATGGAGGGGTGGGGGAAGAAATAGAGTTGAAAGAAGGGTAGAACACTACTATCTTTATCTTACAAAATGGAAAGCCAAGAAATACTGCCCATAGTTGATAGAGTAAAAAAATACACCATATGTAGATTAACTTAACACAAAGGTATAGACAACCAGTTAAAAATATTGACATAAGTATAGCAGAGGATTGAAGAAAGTTGGGAATAAATTATCTAAATCTTCATGAATCATAGAAACAGCCATAGGTAGTATCCAAGATTCATCCCACAGGAAATAACAATGTACAAATATTGGTGACGAGAAGTAACGATTAGAAAAAGGTTAAAAACCACTGTGCATGAAGAGGAAAATTGGAAATGAGTAAGTATGAGCAGAGAAGGGTTGATTTTCATGAAAATCCTTTTGTACTATTTGAATGTTTAGCCAAGTTCACTGCTGTAAAAAGTATTGCATAGACAAATGTCTAAAAATACTAAAACGTTAGCAACCCTCGTCTAGTAATTTTTGTCTGCTTCTCTATCTTCTTACTTTCTCTTCTTTTTCAAGTATTCTATGATGAATATCTGTTTGCAATTGTAAATATTTTTAAAGCACACATTTTTCCATATATTTAATAATGTGAAAAAATTCCTTTGAAGCAGGATATAACACTGTATCTATAGTATGATTTCTAGAAATGTTAAATAAAAGCATTGAAAAAAGCCAGGAAGGGACTAAGAGACCATGCAGACTCCAGTCTTAGAGACCCTGAGAATTAGATGGTACACCACTATCACTGCCTACCACGCTGAAAGTGTTACCCCAAAGCTTGGGTCCAATGCCTTGGAACAATTGAGTCCAACCAACAAACACTCCTGGTATGGCACTGCAGATTAATGAACTAGATGGCAAAGTGGGTTTGAACCACAAGTTGAGTGGTTCAATTTCACTAGCCACTCTTTGGAAACCCTATTCAGGGTCGCTATGAGTGAAACCCTATGTAGGGTCGCTATGAGACTTCATGGCACACCACCACCACCAGCCAACAAAATATTCCATAGCCATGAAAATGTGTGCATGCCATAAAAAAAACTTTGCAAATAATATGTAATGATATTTTTAAACATCTTAATAGATCCACAAATATAAGGTCATCTAATATATGACAAAGTTGCTACTATAATTTGGTGGGGAAAGGATGCATTTGTTTTCAATAAAGGGTGCTGTCTTGATATCTTGATATCTCTATGGTGGGGGGAGGAGCATTGACCTCCTTACTCTACACCATGAAAAACATGAAAATGTGAAAGTTAAAACAGTAAAGTTGTTAGGAGAAAACAGACTGAGGTAGACAAATATTTTTAGAATAGGACACAAAACCACTAATCACAAGAGGAAAAAAAATGGATAAATTGAACTTTCTTAAGAATTTCCATTAATCAAGACACCATTAATAGAAACAACACACTTTGTCAAAATGGAGAAAGACCTGAATCTTTACTCTACAAAAGAAGATATGCAAATGTTCAAGAAGCATAACCCATTCCTATTGAGTCAGCTTGATTCCAAATGACCTGCAGCATACCATAGAACCTTCTCCACAGTGTTTTCAAAGGGATCAGACTGGCACATCAATCCTCCTCAAAATTACTGGTGGGTTCCAATGGTCAACTTAGCAGCCAAGCACTTAGCCAGTAACGCCACCAGGCCTCCTTTCAAGAAGCATAAAAAGGTACTAAATATCATTAGTCATCAGAGAAATACAAATTAAAACCTTGGTGAGATGCTACATGATAGCTATTGTTGTTGTTAGTGCCACTGAGACGGTTCCAACTCATATAGACCCTGTATAGGGTTTCCAAGGAGCAGCTGGTGAACCACCTTTTGGTTAGCAGTTCAGTGCTTATCGCACAATCAATGCCACATCAAGACTCCACATAGCCATTAGATTAGCTGTAATTTAAAAGACTGACTATTCCAAATATTGGTGAGAAGGAGAAACAAGCTTATACATTGATGCTGGGAATACAAATTGGTACAACCACTTTGGAAAACAACTTGTCAGTATGCACACTGGGTTCATCATGACTCAGAATCAACTCAACAGCAACTAACAGTAACAACATTAAAGCTAAACATACAACTATTTTATGACCCAGTAATTGCATTCCTAAGGAGCTCTGGTAGAGTAGTGGTTATGAATTGGGCTGCTA